TTCACTCAGGTAAGAGGCCTTTCTTATGTGGGACATGTGGAAAAAGTTTTGCCAGAAAAAGCAATTTAACCGGTCATATGAGAATACACACAGATGAGAAGTCTTTCTCATGTGGGACATGTGGAACAAGTTTTCTTCATGAAAGCAGTTTAACTAATCATATGAGAATTCACTCAGGTGAGAAGTCTTTCCCATGTGGGACATGTGGAACAAGTTTTCTTCATAAAAGCAGTTTAACTGTTCATATGCGAATTCACACAGGTGAGAGGCCTTTCGTATGTGGGACATGTGGGAAAAGTTTTACCCACAAAAGCAATTTAACTGTTCATATGAGAATACACACAGATAAGAAGTCTTTCTCATGTGGGACATGTGGAAAAAGTTTTTCTCGAAAAGACTTTTTAGCTGTTCACGTGAGAACTCACACAGGTGAGACGGCATAATTTGAACCTCTAGTTCTACAATTTTTTAGTAACTTGCTGTTTGGCAGCGGAGTAATTACACATTTTTAAATGTAGCAGAGAAGTAAAGCATTTCAAATAAGTTTTGCTAAAAATACCAGGGGGGGAAAAATCGCCTTTTTGTGACAATGTTGTCTTTCCATTGAAGACTTTTTTAAGTGAGCTACTTGAGTGTCTTTAAAAATATATTCACATTATGTATGTTTTTTTTTTTAAACTTGCTTTCTTTTCCAAGTGTAGTGAAATATTAATTGAATTTTGTACAAGACTAATTGGCTGAATGCTGTCAGCTTTCAGACTTCTAGAGCTGTTGGAACCATTTTGTGTTGTAGTTGGAATATTTTAAATTTTAAAGTGTGAAACTTTGTGCTTTGACTCACTTAGAATAAAAGAACTCAGAAATTCCTTTTTTTGAAACTATGTTAAATTTCTTTTATGAAAAGATGATGTGGAACAGCCGCGATATGTTTTTGTATAGGTCGCTGTTGGAACTGGTCCGAACCGGTTCTCTGTAGGTGGAGGCCAGAACTGCGGGAACTGTCCACGTGGTGAAGATTGTATAAAAAGTTTGCTTGTACTTATTGGTGTCACTCTCAATTACTGAGGTTCTTCAAAATTCAATTATACTCTTTGAATAAATGTGCATTCTCTGTCAAATATGTTTTTTTTTCCTTTTGAAGATGAAAATGTCCATAAGTGTGTTTATCTTTTTTTCTACTTATGCTTTGCTTTGATCAATGGTTTTGCTTAGCAGATGCATGTTAGATGTTAATTTAGGCACTGGTATGTTGTGAATGATTTAGTATATTTGTTTTATTAAAATATTGATTCAAAATATGTGTAATATTTTCATTTTCTTTCAGAGTTCCTGATTCAGGAGAAATAATATTTCTTGATGGCAACAGCAGACATAAAGTTCACTAAATCCTAATGAACCTTTTGTTTAAGGTTTCTATTTTATTTTTAATATTATAAAATCTAATTATGATATGGATTAAAATTTAAATTCAAAAGTGGCAAGAAAATAACAGTTTGTTATTCTTAGATAATAAAGATTATTTACTAAAATGTTGGTCTTCTTTATTCAGTTTAGTCGTGGAGTTTGACCCACTTAACAGGTGAATACGACTATCTGATACCCGAGTCTTTTCTTTAATCTTTATAAATTTATTTCTCCCGACAAACTGTTTTTGAGTGATGAGTTTTCTGTTGAATGATTCACCTCCAGCAGCAACAACCACACATCATGTCTCCACCTGCAGGCCTGACAGAGAAGCAGCTTCATGCTGCCACCTGCTGACAAGAACCTGACACTACAGCTACATTGTTTCAGCTAAAACTGACGTAGAAACCAGTGATTCGGCCATTTTTCTACAAATTTAATAAAGATCTTGTGAATGATTTTACATTCTGGTTTGTGGCTCGTTTTTGTGTCTTCTCTGAAACATCTAAGAGCTGGGTAGAGAGACATGTCTTTGAAGCGATGGTTGTTTCTGTCTCTCATCTCCTTTTACTGTTTAACTATAAACTGAACCCAAACCTAAAAATACATCCTGATGTGCCCATATAATAACCTTAAACACTGCTGTACCAGCTAAAAAGATCTAATTATACGAAATAAGTTAGAATATATATGTTCTTTTGTCAACTTAAAAGCACCTTTTGATAACTAACATTAATAAAGTATTGAGCCTTTTTTTCCCTATAAGCCCATATTTCTGAAATAAAATGTTTTTTTTAACTATTAATGTTTAACTGTGTGCAGGAAAACATAATTAACTGAAAGAAAAAGCTTGAAAACATCAGTCTGTGTGTAATTATTCTATATATTGAGTCACTGAAATAAATTGTAAAAATTTAAATGAAGAAATGAACTGTCACTCTTAATTACCAAGCAGTCGTCAGTGATTTTCACTCAAACCGCTCTTTATTATAATAGCAAGAACAGCAAAAAGACATGTTCAGTGGTCTCATCTGTTCTAACTGGACTCATCACTACAAGAAGAAGACATTTGTTTACAGAAAGGAAATGGAAAGGGGAACAGGCATTTCAATAAGTGTAGTTAATCATTTAAAGAAGCCTGAATCACAAGATATAATTCTAACACTGAATTAAATTGTTCCCCCCTCATAACTTTGGCAAATAATGAGGAAATGTTTTCAAACTTACAGGATTTGTTGTTGATGGAGAGAGGAATAAACACAGTTAAAGACCTGCTGGTAAATTAATTTGTTCCAATGAAATGGAGGGGGAACAGATTATTTCAGGCAGCTGAAATAGATAAAATATGTTGTTCCCCCCTCTTAACTTTGGCAAATAAGAAGCAAATGTTACCAAAATCACATGATTTGTTGTTGCTTATGAGAGGAACAAACACAGATAAAGACTTGCTGGTAAGTTAATTTCTTCCCATGTTATAGAGGGGGAACAGACTATTTCAGGCAGCTAAAATATATGGTTCCGCCCTAACAACTGGCATATAAAGAGCAAATGTTTCCAAAATCACAGGATTTGTTGTTGATGATGAGAGGAATAAGCACAGTTGCAGAGATTGAGAAAAAATCATTACCTAGACAGATTACTTTTACCCAGTAATCTGTCATGTATTTTACATTAGAAGGGGATTTTCCAGAAAGCCTGTCTCATCTTTTCAGGAAGTTTAATCTTCGTTCCCTGCTATCAGCCAGTTTCCCTCCTCTTATATTAGTAATGAAAAATTATAAACACACACAATGTGTTGGAAAACTGTATTTGGTGACTTGCTTTTCTTTTTGTCAGGCTTGAGTGACAAAAGTAGGAAAAATACCTAAAGGCAACTCAAAACGGTGTAAGAAGACCTCCACACAAGACCTCATTTATTTATTTATTTTACAATTTCGTTAGCAGACGACTAAACTGAAAGTTACGACCTTGAGTGATTATATGAGCTGTTTTACAGAGAAATCGATCAGAAGCGCCGTGAAAACGATCAAAGGATAACATTACAGCTAATGGACAAGATTTGAACCTTTGTTGGAACTTTCCCCATTAGATTCAGCTTCAAACAACTTAACTCCTTGATCCTAATTCCTGATATTATCATGATTTTCAGTGGTTGTGGATTAAATATAACTGAGCAGAAGCAAACAGATTAGAATAAATACTCTCGGTGACGTGGTGGATGATGAATAATCAATTTAGTGAGACTTAAACCGCCCGGTGTGTTATGAGACAAAATAACACGCAACCTCTCTGAGAGAATGCCCTTTCATTAAGGACAGGTGCATCCAGCTCTGCATGGTGACGAGCAGGACAGGGATGGGGGTTTTCCATTAGAGCGATTAGAGCCGGAATAATAACGTTCCTGCTGCCGCACGCTTTAAGCCACGAGGATCTGTCTGAGGTGCTGATGCTGCTGTTGTTGCTGGGACTGCAGCAGCCGCATCCCGCTTCTCCCCGCGCTCAACGTGCTCGGAAACATCTGTAGAAAACCTCTTTGCGTCACAGTGAGGGAGGCGCAACTCTGACACTCTTTGTGTGCGTGCCGGGGGCAGTCCCACGTTTGGGACCGCCGCTCCCCTCTCCGCGACGAGCATATACGAAAAGCAAGAGACGGCACGTGCGGGTGGGTGGTCTCCGACCCGCCGTCTTCACGTGGCTCCAGCGAGAGGCGCTCCGAGCCAAGCCTCCGCAGCGTCAGTGTGTTGCGGCAGCAGCAGGAGACAACATCCCAAAACATGGCTGTGGAGCTGGAGCCCACTGAGTAAGTGCACGCCTGATCCTCAATGCATGAACAATTAGAGCAAATCATATCACGAGAGAATACACAGAACGGGTTATAATACGTGATTGTATTTCGTGTGTTAACTTAACTTGAAATTATATTTAAAGCCAGTTAGAAAAAAAAAGAACGAACGAGCTCTTGATGTTTTCTTTTCACACTGCATAGTTCTGTTTATGTAAACAACAACACTGAAGAAATTGACGTTTTTGCTCACACGTTTGCACAAAGCCATTTGATCTTTAAGTCTCGCAGATATTGGGAGAGAATTGGTTATTTTGTCAGCCTGCATCCATGAACCACATGTGCCTGTTGATCTTGTAATTGCTCCTCCCCATGTAGATTTCCCCCCCACCCCTTCTGTGTTGCGCTTGGTAATTTGTATGTATGATGACAGTACTGTCCATTGCTTTTATTTTCTTACAGATGATATATGTACTCACGAAATGTTTTAAAAGCGTAATAGTTGATGTTATACTATAAAAGTCTTCACATGCCTTGAACGTTTACCCACATTTTGTCATATTAGATGCACAAACTTCAGTACATTTTATTGGGTTTTACGCCATGGGCCAACATAAAGTAGAAAATAAGTGTGAGGACGAAGGAAAATTATACATTATTTTTAAGTTTTTATGTTTTTACTCTTAAGAAATATAAAAAGTTTGGCATATATCTGCAATACGTTTGCTGAGGTTTTTTGGGGGTATGTCTACCAGCTTTGCTTGAGCATGGAGATTAAAACCTTTTTTTATTCTTTGTAGACTAGCTTCAGCTCAATATGATTGGATAGAAAGTATCCATAATCCTTAAAATACAAGTCTTGCCACGAATTATTAATTAGGAGAAGGTCTGGACTTTGACTGGGCCGTTCTAACATCTCAGTATGCTTTGCTCTAAACTATTTCCTGTATCGCTGGTTGAATGTTTAGTGTGGTTTTCCTGCTGAAATTTCCAGTGTTTGTAGCATATGGCAGAAAAACATCCCCACAAGATGATGTTGCCACAATCATGATTAAATGTGGGCTGGTGTTTTGAATTTTTGGTGCAGTGTTATTATTATATATCTTTTTTATTATCACACAGTCTTTCAGCTTTGCTCTCTTCTGTCCTCTTCTGTGCCCTCTATATGGCTCATTACAATGTGCAAACACCTTTATTTCAAGAATGGCTCATTATACAGACCAGATTTGTGTTTCGCATGGACCGAGTTGACATGGAGCACACGCCACACTTTTTGGTTCATACAAAAGACATGAAAACAATATATCCATTTCCTTCACTATTGTGTTCTTCTTTGTGTTTACCTATCACAAAACCTCCAAAAAATGCCTTGCAATATAAGAAAATGTTAAAAAGGTGAGACAGGTATTTATACTTATGCTCTACTGCCTGCAGGTGCATGTTTCTGGGCAAAAGTGATGAAGTAGATTCTTGAACAGCAGATGGCAGTAAATTGGACACAAAATCCACATATTTGGAAAAGAGTCACTGGTATCGAATTAATTTCAGAGATGATGATAGTCTGTGGTATTGTGTGAAAAAATCAATAAAAGAAAGTAAAGTGCTTAGAGATTTGTCTTCTCTGTGTCTGCAGTGTGATCCGTCTGATCATGCAGTACCTCAAGGAGAATAACCTCTACCGCACGCTGATGACCTTACAGGAGGAAACCACAGTTTCTCTCAACACCGTGCAAAGCATCGAGAGCTTTATAGAGGATATAAACAGGGGCCACTGGGACTCTGTTCTGCTGGCCATTGAGTCTCTCAAGTTGCCTGACAACACACTGATTGACCTCTATGAACAGGTGAGTTGGAGTTTGCTCAGCAGATAACCTGTGAGTGTTATGCCTTGCAAATGCCTTGAAAAAAGCTCATGTGTCTTGAACATTTTCCCACTTTGCCACATTTTAACCACAAGCATCAATGTATTCTAATTGGATTTCATGCGACAGGCCGACACCACGTAGTGCATAATTATGAATTAGAAGGAGAAAATGCATGACTTTAAACATTTATCACAAAACAAAAACCTGAAAAGAACAAATAATTGTTTTCATTATCCTTCATTTTGATACTCATCATTAAAATCCAATCTAGCCAGTTGCAGTGTGTAATTTACCCTATGTATAGATGCAACTGTTCAATTTGACCTCAGAGGTTTTGATAGTAAACATGGCTTGGTGTTCAATAAAATTGTGGGGAAGTTCAGAACAGTGTTAAGTTATAAAAAACAACAACAAAACAAAAAAAAAAAAAAAACAACTTCTAAAGTTTGAAGATACTAGAAAGAAATGCTTACTCCATCATGGAATGAAACAGCATGACTCCAGACAAAACATGACTGACCACCTAAACTGTAAAGCCTGGAGAGAAAAGCATAAGAATTCTTCGGACTCTGCATTCGGAAAGCATGTCAAGACATTTCCTTAAACACTTGACACTGTTATTGTTTTGGAACGTGATTCTACAAAGCATCGACTAAGAGCTTTACCTGTGAAAAAAATATTATAAATTATGAATAATTTTCATTCCACCTTACATTTATGCACTACTTTGTGTTGGTATACAACATAAAATACAAAAAAAAAAATTTTTGTGATTTTAATGTGACACCACATGAATACCTTCAGGGGGCAGTAATTCTTTTTCAAGACAGTAAAAAGCATCTCCGATTACCAGCGATCTTCTCAACAGGTTGTGATGGAGCTCATTGAAATGAGGGAGGTGGGTGCAGCCCGTTCGCTCCTCAGACAAACTGACCCAATGATCCTGCTGAATCAGACCGAGCCAGAGAGGTACGCCCATCTGGAGAAACTGCTGACGTGTCCTTACTTTGACCCTCGAGAGGTTAGAAAATAAGTATAGTGTTCTACCTTCAAGCGAAAACAATTTGCATGAGGGTGTGATGTCCAAGCCGAAACCCCCTTTCTCTGTCACTGCAGGCGTACCCAAAGGGCAGCAGTAAGGAGAAGCAGCGCAGAGCCATAGCTGAGGCTTTAGCGAGAGAGGTCAGTGTGGTGCCTCCTTCTCGCCTCATTGGACTCCTGGAACAAGTCAGCGTGAGTTCAGAGATCAATATTCTTCTCAGTACTCACTCTAATTACATGCCAGGGGAATGCGCGTTATTGATGTGCGTTTCCTCTCGCTTTTGTCCTTTTTTTATTTTGTCCTACTGTCACAGGACTTGTTGTGTGTGCCTCTATGCTTGCTGTTAAAGACCTCTGTCATCTTCTACCTTGGATGTCGTCTAGGCTCGAATGTTTAGAGAGATGACTTTTGGACTCCAGCTGGGGCTACATAGGGACAAATAATAGAAAGCGGTAACTCTCCGGGTTTATCCACAGGAGGGTTTTCTATTGGATGATATGGGAACACGGTCTCTAGGAAGCTGCACAGGAAAGGTCTCTTCTTGGAAATGTTTGCAGAGAAAATGTCTCAAGAATTTTTGTAGGTAGGCAAACCGGTAAGGTCCACAAAAACAAGACAAAAAATGTACAAATAGTTCCACTGGGCACAGCTGATCAGAACTTTTTCTTGTGAAAAAAGGGTTCTTTGTCTTTGCATCAAAACTTTTAATTAAACTTGTCCAAGGAAGGAGATGTTTTCATGCACAAAGTCTAAATCAAAGTACTTTAAAATACTTAAAAAATGAAAACTATTGCAATTTAATCAATATTCTTGAAATATAATAAAATAATTGTACGAAAGAGATAGCAATTGCAATAGCAATATAAGCTACAAAGTAGTAATGGCTCTTTTAAACTGTCTAAATTTCTCAGCTAAAAGGAAAAAAAAATCACAGACATAACAGTAGATCTGTTATGCAGGCTTTAGAGAAGCTCAAGGTCTAGCTCTGAATGATAACTATGGCATTCTTTTTTCTGCTAGCATTGGAGATGTGAAATCTGTCTGTCCTGAGGAGAAAATAAAAAAAAGGTTAAAAACGTCAAATTGCACTGGACATTACTTGCTTTCATTGATTTCTGTCCCGGAATGCTACATTAAAATTTCAAGAATACCTTTTTGGTACCGAATTGAAGGACTGGGTCATAAATGTAGAGTGTTATTTTGGGCAATGCTCGACTTTAATTGCATCTGAATGGATCCAGAAGTATGCAAACAGTCTCTTTTCATCTTTAGCTGAAGTAGACTATATTATGTGAATAACATTGGCCTGAACATTGGCCAATAATTCATATGAATAAGTCCTACCAATTCAAATTGAATGATCGTTTTTTTCTCATGTGTAGTGGTGTGAACTGTAACGGACTGAACACACAGCCATGAGGGATTCCAGTGCCCTATATGGTATTACAGCTTTAAGTTTTGTGTTGTTTTCCCTGTTGCAGTATATGAAGCGACAGATAAATCCAGATTATCTTTCCCCTGAAATGACAATCGACACATCGACAAACAAGGAGCAGCATGCGGAGAAAGAAAGCTTTCCATCTCAGCTGTACCGCCACATGAAGGTAAATCAACAGAAATCAGCACATTTCTGTATTGGTCCATAGGAAACTGCTCGGACAATAAATGTATGAAGTCGTGCTGTCTGGTCAATTTGTGGTCAGTGTGATTTTGTTTTATAAGTGAATTCATCCACTGGACGTTCTGACACAAAACTAATTGCCTTTTTCGCCTCAGGACAACTCTTCCAGTCAGTTTGTATTCTCAGTACTAGCTCCTAGGCACCACTCATTATTGCTTTCCAGTGACAAAAGTGATAAGAATGGTCAGCCCACGCTGATGCAGAGCGCTGGAGAAATGTGTTTCTCCCTGAGGATGACTGATATTAAATTTTGTTTTTGCTCTGTGTTTATATACGCTCCAAATTGTTGTTGTAGAAGAGGCATCTTATGTAATTTTTATGTGTGATTTAAATATGCAGTTTGGACGACGTTCACATGTAGAATGCGCCCGGTTCTCTCCTAATGGGAAGTATTTAATCACCGGATCAGTGGACGGGTTTATTGTGTTCTGGAACTTCAACAGTGGAAAGATTTGTAAGGTAAAATGTTTTTTTCACATTTTTAGACATATTCCCTTTGAATTTTGTTACATGAATAGTGATAAAGTTGTTTTGCATTTGTTTGAATAATGTTTACGCATTACCCAACTTCTTAAAAGAAAAAAAAAGAAAAAAAAAATCAAGATTATAATTTCAAAACCATTCTTGTGATTAGCGGTATGCTTTAGATTTGTATTCGTAATGTTCTTTTGTTATTTACGGGTCTGTGTGTGCTGTGTATTTGTGTATAAATGGCGTCCTGCAGGATCTCAAGTATCAGGCCCAAGAAAGCTTCATGATGATGGACGATGCTGTGCTGTGCATGTGCTTCAGTCAAGATGTAGATCTACTGGCCACAGGAGCTCAGAATGGCAAAATTAAGGTTAGTTTGGTCAAACAGTGTAAGAATCCAGCTGATGCCTTCTTGTTTGAGTCTCAGCTTTGGTATGTTTATTTGAATAGAAAATGTGCATGTTTCTAAAACATTGAAATATGTCATTGTGTGTTGATGAAAAAGGTGTGGAAGATCCAAAGTGGCCTGTGTGTGCGAAGGTTCGAGCACGCTCACAGCAAAGGTGTGACTTGTCTGAGCTTTTCAAAGGACAGCGACCATATCCTCAGTGCCTCGTTTGACCAAACCATAAGGTGGGATTTCACAGCGTCCACAGTGAGCTCAAAGCCATACCACATATCTATATTGACTTGACGAGTCAATATGTGGAAAGCATTACATGCCATTGCTAAGTATGGTGGAGTATCCATGTTGCTGTGGGTCGTTTGTCTTTAAAAGACCCTGGGGACATTTTTAGAGTATATGTCATCTTGGAATTGTTAAAATACAAAAAGAAAACACCTGGTGGAAACCATACAGCCAAATTATCACATAAAAGGTTCAAAGGCCCCAAAATCAATCTTCTGTCACGGTCATCTCTGTCCTACATCCTGTACAACAATTGCCAGTTGGTGAATTTAAAAGAGGATTAAGAAGAAATCAGGACTGACTGATTTCGTCAGATGATCAAGATCCATCTCCCCCAGTAAACTTCAACGCTGAGAAAAGAATTAGAGCTACTCCATTGGTAAAAAGAGGTTTTATCAAGTAAATAACCAAAAGGGCAACACTAATTGTTTGACAAATCATTTTCTAAAAAACTATTTCAGGATAATTTCCTTGCTAAATAGTTCTAGCACATTGAGCATTACATTTTTTTATTTATTTTTTTACCACTGCATTCAAATTTTCATTTAGTTTGAGATGTTTTAGACATATTTACCAGTTGTTATTTTATAAATTTTTATGTTACGTTTGTATACACATGTTGCAGGCTTGTGCGTAATATACATAACACTTAAAGTATAACATCTAATGACAGAAAAATGTGACTAAATTTGAAAATAAATTATGGTAAATGTAGATGTATAAAAAAGATCAAACTGAAATGGAGCAGGTTAGCATTGTTCCTTGGAATTATCTGATTTCTGTGATTAAAAATGGGTCATTACAACAGCCTTAATTCTGAAATTGACTTCCTAAAGTAACCAAACATGAGGTAGGAGCTTTGTTTGGTTTCTGGAGTCTTGTGCAGAAGCAGATTTGTCTGCAGTGGGAGGAAAGCGAAAGATCTTATTGACCTGAAAGATGATTCATAAAGGTTTGGAAGATGCACATACAGGCATCGACTCATGAAGGACAGCAGGAAGATGGGTGCTTTTTTTTTTGTTTGTTTTATCAGTTTACTTTTACAGCCCACTGTAAATTCATAAGAAACACAAGAGTGGGTGGGCAACAAGTTAGGAAAAAAAAATGCATGAAAAATATTCAAGATGTTAGTGATCTTCAGTTGTGGCGCTGCGGTTTAATGTATGACTCTTTTCTGAAGTAACAGGCTGGGTGGATATTAATAACATGAATGTACATATGCTTGCATTTCAAACTTCTGCAAACATGAATCCAAACTAACGTAACTATACACTTTACACAGAAAACAACTTTCAAAGTACAGAATTAGCATCTGTAATCACCTATTTTAATCCACTAGCATAAGCAAATCTGCAAAGTTGTGGCGCCTTCAAAGTATTCTGCTTGTTCCATTCTTCCCCTCTGCACACAAACACTGACTCTCCTTTCATTTTGAGGGGTTGAATGCTATATCTGACTCCTGGGTGGGGGGGGGGAGGGGTGGGCTGAGCCTCGAGTTGGAGGCACATGTGCTGTGTGGGTGCAGCTGAGGTACCATGCGCTCAGGCACAAAGCTGCAACGTGTCTCTCCACCTTACGGATCCTCAAGTCGAGAAAATTCCTCACAAGGAGCGAGTCTTCCTTTCCAGGAGACAAAGTGAATCAGTAAGCGTGAGGTGTTTTGTCATGGTTTAGCTCATCTGCACCCATTCACTCAGCAGGAGCTAAAAATAACTCAGTGGCTACACGTTTTGTCTGCTTTCAAGAATAATACGCTCCTCCAGTTAAACAGAGGGTTCAAAAAAAAAAAAAAGGTAGTCATTGCTTTCCTTTATGTCATTTGCTTTTCGACATCATTTTCAGAATCCATGAGCTGAGGTCAGGCAAGACGCTGAGGGAGTTGAAAGGACATTCATCGTTTGTAAACGACGCGTGCTTCGCTCAGGACGGTTTTCACATCATCAGCGCCTCGGCCGATGGCACTGTTAAGGTATGATTTACATAAGCAGTCTGGGTCCACACTTAGTTATGCCACATTAGATGTAAGTTATGGTTCCTGTCAAAAGTTATACAATCATCCGGGGCATAGATCTAATATTTTTGGAGCTTTTAAGGATGCTTTGGTACAGAAAGGAATGATTGTACATCACACAACTTCATAAACTTTTGAACACAAGAGTTGGATGCACAAGTTTGAATTTATTGTAGATATTTATGAATATATCCTTAAACATACTTATACAACCTAATTGATATTTGGTCTGGAGTGTTTGCACACTTATTTAGATTCCTGGTAAAATTCTGCTTGGCAGAGTTGGCATAGTCCACAGATTTCCTCAGGTCATTCTGAATAAAAGTTTTCTGGACAGATTGGATAAAAATGGATGTATTTTAACCACAGCGATAAAGAGTTTAAGCTGAATAAACTTAAATCTTCATGCAGCCATGAAGCATGAAGTTGTTAGAAGGTGATGGGGTTTGTTTCCCTGGCAGCCCTGCAGCGACGAAGTAACCAATAACTTCTTCCAAATTCTTCAGCTTCCCATCAAATTAAAAGTAGAAACTTTTAATTAACTCTGTGTTCCAACTGGGCAACAATGTCAAACACTTGATAGGAATAAAATGGTTCTGGAATGGGTAAAGCTGGCTAATTAAGCTATTGAGATGACTCCAATTTCAACCCCACTGAATAGCTGTAAGAAAACCAACTAACTTGACTTAAATGTGCCATTCCTAAAAAGAAAAGTGGTTAAATATTCAGGCAGAATTATGACCAAACTTTGTTGATGGATACAGAAAGTGTGTGGCTTCTCTGCAACTTGCTAAGGGACATTTTGTGTGTGTGTGTGTGTGTGTGTGTGTGTGTGTGTGTGTGTGTGTGTGTGTGTGTGTGTGCATATATATCTGAGCCTGTATGCACAGTTATGTGCATACAGGCTCATACATGTTGGATTAGAGAAAACCAACAAGTAATTCACACTTGCACCCAGTTCTTGTTTTAAAAATTTCACTCAAGTGTGTTTGGTTCGAATGTGTTTATGCCAAAAACGAGTTCCTGTACACTTCCGACTAGAACTGTTAAGCTGGAAAATATTTCTTCTCAGATTTGGAGCACAAAATCCTGCGAATGCATTCACACGTTCAAATCCCAGTCAATGACGTCAGAAGTCCCAGTCAACAATGTGATTCCTCTTCCCCAAAAGCCTGAGGAGTTTGTGGTGTGTAACCACTCCAGTACGGTGGTCATCATGAACATGCACGGCCAGGTGAGAGCATCGTTTGACTTGGTTTGAAACAGTCTTACACTTCTTCATGGAAATTATTAGTGATTTTCTTTCTTTCTTGTTTTTTTTTAAACTAATCGGCTCTAAAAGCAATAACTAAATCTTACCTTTTTTTTTTTTTTTTTTTTTTTTAAAAACATAATAAATTTTTCTAATTATTTTTTATTGTTTTTGCAAAAAAAA